TTTGTAATTTTTTTTTCTCTCAAAAAATTTTCTTTTTTCATGAAGTTTCAGTAGGTTTCAGCATTTTTTCAAGAAGATGTTTTAAAAAAATAATAATATCTAATAAATTAGTTAATAGGTCGAATTATAGCAAAATTTTTTGTGTTTCGAAATTTATCGTGTTTTGAAATTTATCGTTATTTATTGTGTTTTGAAACTTATCAAGTAAGTAACCAGTGATATTCAACAATTAGATAACGCGCGCCAAAACTTTTGCAAAAAAACTAGACATTTCCACAAAAAATCCGAAAAAAAATCGTTTTTCTTACCAGTCTCTTACCATTACACAAACCATCAAATCTTACCGTTGGTATTCCCTATCTTATTCCCGTTGGTATTCCCGTTGGTATACATTGTACACTCTATACCCAATCTTAATAGATAGCATGGTTGACCGGAAATCTATAACTATCTTAATACATATGTTCAGCAATGCTCCCCCCTCCCCACTTTAGCTCCAACATCTACTACTTCTGTAGTTTTTCGAAAACTTGAAGAGTAAATTAAAATCATCAGACTCACATAGAATTATTTGAGCGCATAAATTCAGTTTCTTTACATTGTTTGCAAAGATCTTTCCGCAATAGCATCACCTATAAAGCTAATTATGATTTACTGGTTAGGTCAATCCAATGTTTTTATTTAGCATTTGACAAAAAAATTAAAATTTTTAATTTGAATATTCGGTCAGAAAAAGACAGAAATGAGAAGAAAAAATTCGTACAATTGCTCAAAAATAAACAAAATTCAATTACTTTGTCACGTGACTGTTTTTGCTCAGTGACAACTTGAGTTCAACAACTTTGCATCCTTTTATTTGACAAGAAAACCTTTAGATATTTATATTTTCTACGTTGTTTCATTAGAACCTTTTTTGTTTTCATCTTGATAACTGATTTCAAATTTAATCAAAATTTATTATATTCATACAAACTGTCAGTTTCATAAAAGACATGAGATTCTGTAGCGACTAGTTTTTTCAGGCCCTTTTGACAAATTGGACGACTACAAAACAGTTTGCGTCGTTTCTGTCGTCATGTATAGCTTTTTGATGAAAAAAATCTCAATTTGGATGAAGCTTAAAAAAATCGACAAAAAAAATCTCTTTTATAATTCACAAAGCCTAGCTTATTTGAAAGACATCTGTATAATTTATCTTTTTATAACCACAACCGCCCTATAAAAATTCAAAGTTTATTTCCGTTTAACTGGGTTTCTGCGCGATCAATTGAAGTTCAACAATTAGGTGAAGTTTCAGCATGGACTTTGATTGAAGTAGGCATAGGCTAACAGATTTCTGTACCTATGACTGTGTGAAAGACAGCGGCGCTCTTGTGCAATCTATGTTGGATTGATGCAAATCAGAATTGATTTTTTTTGAGCTGAGATTATCAAAATATAGATTCTACAAAATTAGAAGTCTTACTTCGTAACTTGTTGATCCGACTTTCGATACGAAAGTAACGGAATATTTGTGCTAGGGGTGGGTTTTTTTTCTTCAGACAAATTTCGTTTTATTAACAACTTTTTTCGACGGATTTTTTTTATCATTCGAAAGCTATTGTTGTCTTGAGCTTAAATTTGAAAAAATATTTCAACTCTGACCATTTTTCGTAAAGTTATGGGGGTTTAAAGATTGCCATTTTGGTCGATTTGGGACAATTAAAATGCGATATATTTCGCGCTATTAACGCGTAAGCAGAGAGTTAATCCGTCTTAGAAATCGTTCCAAATTGGTTGAAAGTGGCAAATTCTATCCAATTGTTTTTATATGGCGTGTGGGGAGATGACTTTCATTAAAAAATTCAAATTAAAAAAAAATCATTTTGTTTTATTACATTTAATTTTTTTTATTACTGCTCCATAAACCTCAAAAGGCAATCGGAACATTCAGGGCTTAGCCCTGATACGAGCAGTCCTGTTTGTTTTAAACTCGAATAATTCTTAGCAATTTGTCAGTTTTTGCCTCGTGCAGATGTGGAAATAGCTTTAAACTCACATGGTTGGTTATATTTTGAGTGTTTGACTGCATTGTGCCATTATTTTGATAGTAGCCATCCGAAAATATATATTTTTTTGCATATTTTTAAATACAACAACAAAAAACTAGCTTTCTAAGATGAAAACGATATGCAAAATTTTTTTGCATATGCATCACTAATACTTTCGCCAACTAAGTTATGCATTGCAAAAAATAACTTGAAAACTTATTTTTTTTCTTTTCTATTGCCATTTTATTTGATTTACTTTGTGTTGTGTGCTTTAAATAGTTTTTTGTATAAAAAGCACGTTATTGAAATAACAGAGGCGCAAGTTTTGGTTTATGTATTTTGCTTGGTTTTGTCAACAAGCATACGCTTTGTCAAAAAACATTGCATGCCATTTATCTCTCAACATTTTCACGTTTTTCATTTGTTTTCAGTTGGAGTCACATCTTGTGGTTAAGAAAAACTATGAAGCACTTTATCACTCTTTATGATCATGACTGTTTTTGCTCAGTAACAGCTTGAGTTCAACAACTTTGCATCCTTTTATTTGACAAGAAAACCTTTAGATATTTATATTTTCTACGTTGTTTCATTAGAACCTTTTTTGTTTTCATCTTGATAACTGATTTCAAATTTAATCAAAATTTATTATATTCATACAAACTGTCAGTTTCATAAAAGACATGAGATTCTGTAGCGACTAGTTTTTTCAGGCCCTTTTGACAAATTGGACGACTACAAAACAGTTTGCGTCGTTTCTGTCGTCATGTATAGCTTTTTGATGAAAAAAATCTCAATTTGGATGAAGCTTAAAAAAATCGACAAAAAAAATTCTCTTTTATAATTCACAAAGCCTAGCTTATTTGAAAGACATCTGTATAATTTATCTTTTTATAACCACAACCGCCCTATAAAAATTCAAAGTTTATTTCCGTTTAACTGGGTTTCTGCGCGATCAATTGAAGTTCAACAATTAGGTGAAGTTTCAGCATGGACTTTGATTGAAGTAGGCATAGGCTAACAGATTTCTGTACCTATGACTGTGTGAAAGACAGCGGCGCTCTTGTGCAATCTATGTTGGATTGATGCAAATCAGAATTGATTTTTTTTCAGCTGAGATTATCAAATATTTATAGATTCTACAAAATTAGAAGTCTTACTTCGTAACTTGTTGATCCGACTTTCGATACGAAAGTAACGGAATATTTGTGCTAGGGGTGGGTTTTTTTCTTCAGACAAATTTCGTTTTATTAACAACTTTTTTCGACGGATTTTTTTTATCATTCGAAAGCTATTGTTGTCTTGAGCTTAAATTTGAAAAGATATTTCAACTCTGACCTTTTTTCGTAAAGTTATGGGGGTTTAAAGATTGCCATTTTGGTCGATTTGGGACAATTAAAATGCGATATATTTCGCGCTATTAACGCGTAAGCAGAGAGTTAATCCGTCTTAGAAATCGTTCCAAATTGGTTGAAAGAAGCGTATTTGCCGTAATTGAGTTGTTAAAAGTGGCAAATTCTATCCAATTGTTTTTATATGGCGTGTGGGGAGATGACTTTCATTAAAAAATTCAAATTAAAAAAAAATCATTTTGTTTTATTACATTTAATTTTTTTTATTACTGCTCCATAAACCTCAAAAGGCAGTCGGAACATTCAGGGCTTCGCCCTGATACGAGCAGTCCTGTTTGTTTTAAACTCGAATAATTCTTAGCAATTTGTCAGTTTTTTGCCTCGTGCAGATGTGGAAATAGCTTTAAACTCACATGGTTGGTTATATTTTGAGTGTTTGACTGCATTGTGCCATTATTTTGATAGTAGCCATCCGAAAATATATATTTTTTTGCATATTTTTAAATACAACAACAAAAAACTAGCTTTCTAAGATGAAAACGATATGCAAAATTTTTTTGCATATGCATCACTAATACTTTCGCCAACTAAGTTATGCATTGCAAAAAATAATTTGAAAACTTATTTTTTTTTCTTTTCTATTGCCATTTTATTTGATTTACTTTGTGTTGTGTGCTTTAAATAGTTTTTTGTATAAAAAGCACGTTATTGAAATAACAGAGGCGCAAGTTTTGGTTTATGTATTTTGCTTGGTTTTGTCAACAAGCATACGCTTTGTCAAAAAACATTGCATGCCATTTATCTCTCAACATTTTCACGTTTTTCATTTGTTTCCAGTTGGAGTCACATCTTGTGGTTAAGAAAAACTATGAAGCACTTTATCACTCTTTATGATCAGATATTATTTTGATTGGCTCTATATCAAGCTTTTGGTTTAATTATTAGTTTTTGTTATTGGATACAACAAACTTTATCGCAATTTGGTTTTTGAGGTCTTGTTTGGTGAAAACTGGAACGAGAACAACACTTGCGAGCAGTCTCCTGGAAATTAGTTAATCGCCGAAGAAAATTGTAACAGGTTTTGTTGAAAAGTTCGCTTAAGATACTACAAAATTAGTGAGTGCTCATTTTGCTCATGGCTACATCTAGCTGTACTTCGTGCCTCACTGAAATATCCAACTTTTCCCTATATCTATGCGAGAACTGTGTTGACGAACAAAGCAAAGATTCAAATTCCAATTTACTATGCGAAGACTGCATTGTTCCCCATATTCGAAAAAATCATAGAATTATTGATTCAAAGGGTAACAAACCCCTCATATGCACAGCCCACAGTTTTGTTTTTTTCAGAATACTGCAAAACTTGCAACGTTTTATTTTGCTTTAAATGTATCGCAAATCATAGAAAACACGACTGCGAG